ATCAGATTATATTTATAAAACTTATAAAATTATTACACAGATTTTTCAACCAGTGTTTAGGAAGGGGCCTAATTTGAAGCGCCAGAAGTTAGGCCAATATTTCTCAGCTTGACTACAATAGATGAATATGAACGTGTATCAACATAACAATGCACATAAGCAACTGGTAAATAAGTAACGAAATGTACTTGATGTTTTGACCTACATAAGGCGTATCCAGATAATATTGTACTTACAATAAACGAAAACTCTAAGACAACTTTAATTATGAATTTCCTTTTCCTTCACAGAATTTTCACACACAAAATTGAATTTGATCATTAGATCCACACTATTTTTTGTTCGGAGTATTTGGATACACTTCGTGCACAAGTTTTAAGATACAATCTGGGATCCCTTTCCCGTTTTGTCCACACCAATCCTTCATCTGCTGCAACGTTTAATATCCGTTTCTTCAAGTCCAAGTATCTGCGATCTCTCCAAACACTTTGTTTATTTAGCTCAGTCCAGAAGCAATGTGTTCGAATCGACGAGTTTCTGCAACATGGTGGCCGCACCATTACCTAACTGCGATTGCCTGTGCCGTGTCACGCATGGTTGACAAAAGAAGTGGGAACATACATATTCGGCTGTATCTGGTTCCACAATGAAATCTCGCTGTGACACTGATTCACTACTCCCAAGAATCGGCACTGAATTTGTCAAAGTTTCTGTTTCACTTGCAAGGGCGGGAAGAGAGGCGCCATCTTGTCGATTCGAGTTGTGAATCGGAATGATGTCATCGTGAATTGGAACTTTCTCCACGATAAAGTCACCAATGTCACAATCGAAATGACCGAAGTCTCCCTGATTTTCTCGGACAACTCTTCGTCAAATTCGGCTTCACATGAAAATGTTTTGTTGCTCATATTGAAGACAAGCGAAATTGCAAAGTTCTTGACAGTTGTAAGCAGCAAATCGATGCGCTCATGGGGCGTGGTTGCTGGGAGATCGCGTGGTCAGAACGGGGAAAACAAAGTTTTTTAGAAAGTTATGAAAGAAATCCGCAGTGCAATCCAAAGGTACCACGTGCAGGATATTTTTTAATAATGATATTCACGAAAAAAGCTTTTCTAAAAGTGCCAAATAATTTATTAATTCATCCCAAGGTTGTAACGTTGATCCACGTGGTGGGTATTTGGAAGGAATCTTGTGATGACGCCGTGAATGAGGCCGTGTGTATTACATTGTTGAATTCAAATGACCGGGAGGATTGTTAAGGCACATTATGACATATGCTCGTCATGGATGGAGAAAAAAATGTATCTGAGAGAAACATTGTTGCTTTGAGCTTCGATACAAAACGTGTGTTCGTGCCGAAGTAGTTTACAAGAGAGGATGATCTGTGCAGCCAGCGATCTGAATAAGCTTGATGAAAATAATCTTGAAATCCACTTTCTCACATGACAGAATTAATGTGAACACATATTTATTTGAACATCGCTTCGAAGTCTGTGAGGCTGTCCGTATTTTAATATTTTTATTTCCATTCCGACGTGAAATAATATAATGTTTTCGTGTCTTAATATTGCTGCCGCTGTGGAAAATTGCGCACCGATCTAATAAAAGAAATTCTACTAGATCTACCATTGCACCGTCACAAAAGAACCAAGTCAACTTTATCTTTGTTCCGTTGTTTATTAAAAAATCGCTTCCGAAGCAAAGCGAATCGATCTACATCATACATTAATTCATAGACTAGATTCTAGTACCAAGTGTTTAAAGGTTTTTTTTAAATGTCATAAAATAACTTACACAATTATTGAAAGACATTTTTTGATAAGTGTTATATTTTATTTCGTCCGCCCGCTCTCTGGCTAGTTTAGGCTTGAGGGGAAAAACACGAACAAAAAATATGGATGGCCTTATGGAAATGACACTTGGCATGCCAATCAACCGGGATCTGGGTCACTGGGACCCGCCAAGTTTCACGGATCGAGTTACTTAGGCATGAGGAGCTTCATCGGACAAGTGTGACTTTGCCAGAATACATTGCTATTTGGCAATGAAAAAATGTCACGGGAACGACAAAAAACTACTTTGAAAATATTTTTGACCAATACGAGGGTTTTTTTACACGATCGTTGTCATCCAGATTCCAGATGTAGGCAAGACGAACACAACGAAGAAAAACACTGTTGAAATCACCGATTGCCGTATATATTGTGAGAAATGCGATTTATAAACTGCAGATATCCCGTACACTACAGGATAACGATTGGTGCCGTAACACATATTATGTTTTTGTCCAATTACACTGCTCATATCATCACGACAAACGTATTTCGTTCTCGTCCAGAGATCTAGAATATAGCTCAGAACGAGAACATCTACAATTTCTGTGTTGGACTGCGTTGGATAAATCGTGGACATTCCTCCGTATCATTTTATGAAGATGTGAAAGACCTACGCGTTTGTTGAAAAGTCTTGGAATTGTTTAATAGATATTTAGTAGCCCACTAGAGTGCGGAAGTTCCTACCGCAGATGCCCCTTTGAGTGACAGGCCTGACTTTGTGTTGAATTTCCCTGACTTATTGTTATTACAACAGTGACACTGATTGTTGACTAAGGCAAAGCTGTATAACAGTTTGAATTATAGAAAACAGCAAATGGCCCAAATATTTATCAAATATCAACATTTCCTCTTAGGAATAATAGAGCAAATGGCGCACTATAACAATACCGCCTCATGATGAAAATAACTGCCTTTAACCGGATCGTCAGTCATGTCTTGCATCTGATAAATCGGAATACCATCTCAATCTTCTAATGATAAATATTTTTTCTGTCAAATTTTTTTTATTGTCTCTATGGAAGGTATGTCTAAGATGAATCAGTGACACATTTTAAACTTAAAGGGTTTCATATTGCTTCGTTTAACTTAAGTCTCAACCTTATATTTGACAGGTAAGATTAATAAGTCAATGTATTGCTCCATACTGAAGCTTCATTCTCTCAATTAATGGTTATCTAAAGCGTTTCCACGCCACATTGAAGGCCCGGGTTCGATTCCCCACATAATGTAGGTACAATGGGTGAAGCCCATTTCTGGTGTCTCCGCCGCGATATTGCTGGAATATAATATAACATATAAAAGATTTGACAGATTTGAACTTGGTCCTTTTTCAGATTGCCAAAATTCTAGGTAATTCTTTGAAGATTTTGAGACTCCACATGATGTTAATTCTACTTGTCAAATTAGTTCTGTTTCTATAAAGAATTTCTTTACTTGATAGTAATAAGGACTACGGATATTCTTTGAAACCGGGATTTGGAGGTACATTTGCTGGACTCAGCAATATGTCGCTCTTTGAATGGGTTTGAAGGAGCTTTTAAATACTGTTCAAAAATGAAATGGTCATGCATGTCTTTAAGGTTTTATAGTCAAGTCAAACGTTGATAGTAATGATGCATAGTTTTGGCAGATTTCTTCCTCAGTTAACATACTGACGTTATATCTCTCATTTCATGACAACTACAATAATCTGTCGAGAAATATTCCAAAGTGTGTCTGACCCGTGAAGATCCGGGGTAGAATAGGTCTTCAGCAACCCATGCTTGTCATAAAAGGCGACTATGCTTGTCGTAAAAGGCGACTAACGGGATCGGGTGGTCAGGCTCGCTGACTTGGTTGATGCACGGTCATCAATCCCAATTGCGTTGGTTGATGCTCATGATATCAATCACTGGATTGTCTGGTCCAGACTCGATTATTTACAGATCGCCGCCATATAGCTGGAAAATTGCTGAGTGAGGCGTTAAACAACAAACCAACCAAAGTGTGTCTCCAATTTTTCAGTTATCATTCTCATTTGTGGAGAGAGCATATTTAAGAAAACACAGCCACTTGTCATCATTGCGACGCATGTGCGGGTACAATACCTCTCTGTTTTCTCCCTAATAAGATGAGGGGACACATCTGCGTGAATGATGATATAATATCATGTTAAATTGACGCCCTGCATGAAACTGAGATGACGCCTTGCAAAGATACTTTAACAAAACTACCCTGTTAAAACAATCAGATAATCCACTGTATGCAGGCAAGTATGCTTGTCAATATTTGTTCTAGTTGAATAAATGTAGGATAACGATGTGCAATTATTTATGTTTAGTATATTTGCACCCATTTCCCTTCTTTAAACTTTTAAACCACGACATGAGATTTGTGACCAATTTGGCATGATTTAAAACCGTTAATATTTAGTTGAAATATATATATTGATACTTCTAGTTACAGCTTTGTTATGACTTTTAAGGAAAGAATCTTTACTTGTCTATGGTGCACAATTGTTCACCCAAGCGCCAAATATTTTAAAAACAGTAACATATGGTTTAAAGTAATTACACATTATTTAAACTACGCGTCATAATATTTGTTCATTGCGCCTTGTGTTGTTGCAAAACGAAAAAGGGAAATTTGAGAAAAAGGAAAAGTTGCTTATCAAGGGCAGCATGGTTTTAAATTAATTTTGAGTTTTCGAAAATATCTTCTTCTTTTTTTCCTTACCCTTGAAACTAGCATGTTGAATTTTGTAAATACCTTTGACCGACACCGAAAATGGATTCCTAGAATTAATTTGGGAGTGTTATTATTAAGCTGATAACACGGAAAAGGGAAAAATAAATCAATATACTCTCAGAATATATTTTATTGAAATCAGCACTGTTTGTCGATCGTCCACATTACCGTTAAAATGTTCATGGAGTTTCTATTTAATATTCGATATGATATAGTTTAAAAAGTTTTCAAAAAGGTCAGTGGAACGGACAAACGTCTACAGTGTACGGGTGGATGTTTCCGTGTACTACATTAGAGCAACATAAGGAAAATATGTTCGCGGCATTGGAATATTGCCGAATGGGGCATTAAACCACAGACAAACTGACATACAAAATAAATTATCACTAAATGTGTTTGTTTTCCATCTTGTTCTGTTTATCTCTTCTGTTCTTACAGGGCAAGCAAAACAGACATTGTTGCACACAATAATGTATCGGAGCAGGGCGGCGCTTATACGGACTACCAGGTATTGCATCAGTACTGGGACATCAGAGAAGATTTGGGCGACGGGATGCCGAATGAGAACCACAAACGTACTAGTGGTGCTGAAATGCTTGTTTTAGCAGATTACTTTTCGAGTGCAGACAGAAATGCCGACATTGAAGCCAGAGTTGATGACATTGAAGCCAGTGATGATGACATTGAAGCCAGAGTTGATGACATTGAAGCCAGTGATAATGACATTGAAGCCAGAGTTGATGACATTGAAGCCAGAGATGATGACGTTGAAGCCAGAGTTGATGACATTGAAGCCAGAGTTGATGACATTGAAGCCAGAGTTGATGACGTTAAAGCCAGAGATGATGACGTTGAAGCCAGTGATGATGACGTTGAAGCCAGTGAAGGAACAACAGGTAGTTCTGTAACAGACAACCACTCCTACACACATATCATGCGGGACATCTTCGTTGCTGATCCGAGAACAGTCGCCTCATATATATCACCACTTGAGGACTAAAATTCGAAAGTGACATTAAAGCTAGTGACGGTGACATTATATTGAAACTTGTGACTGTGACATAGAAGCTAGTGATGGTGACATTCATGCTAGTTACTGTCACATTGAAGCAAGTGACGGTGACATTAATGCTAGTGACCGTGACATTATTGCTAGTGATGGGGACATTGAAGCTTGTGATGGTGACATTGAAGCTAGTGACTGTGACATTGATGCTAGTGATGATGACATTGATGGTAGAAATGATGACATTGATGGTAGTGCTGGTGAAATTGATGGTAGTGCTGGTGAAATTGATGCTAGTTCTGGTGACATTGATGGTAGTGCTGGTGACATTGATGGTAGTGCTGGTGACATTGATGGTAGTGCTGGTGACATTGATGGTAGTGCTGGTGAAATTGATGCTAGTTCTGGTGACATTGATGGTAGTGCTGGTGACATTGATGGTAGTGCTGGTGACAGTGATGGTAGTGCTGGTGACATTGATGGTAGTGCTGGTGCCATTAAAGCTAGTGATGGTGACATTGAAGTTAGCGATGGTGACATTGAAGCTAGTGACGTTGACATTAAAGCTACTGATGGTGACATTGACGCAAGTGACGGTGACATGGAAGGCAATGATTGACATTAAAGCTAGTGACGGTGACATTGAACCTTGTGACGGTGACATAGAAGCTAGCGATGGTGACATTCATGCTAGTTACTGTCACATTGAAGCAAGTGACGGTGACATTATTGTTAGTGATGGTGACATTAAAGCTAATGATGGTGACATTGAAGCTAGTGGTGGTGACATTGACGCTAGTGACTGTGACATTGATGCTAGTTCTGGTGACATTGATGGTAGTGCTGGTGACATTGATGGTAGTGCTGGTGACATTGATGGTAGTGCTGGTGACATTGAAGCTAGTGGTGGTGACATTGACGCTAGTGACTGTGACATTGATGGTAGTGCTGGTGACATTGATGGTAGTGCTGGTGACATTGATGCTAGTTCTGGTGACATTGATGGTGGTGCTGGTGAAATTGATGGTAGTGCTGGTGACATTGATGTTTGTGCTGGTGACATTGATGGTAGTGATGATGACATTGATGGTAGTGCTTGTGACATTGATGGTAGTGCTTGTGACATTGATGGTAGTGCTGGTAACATTGATGGTAGTGCTGGTGACATTGATGGTAGTGATGATGACATTGATGGTAGTGCTGGTGACATTGAAGCTGGTGATGGTGACATTGACGCAAGTGATGGTGACATTAAAGCTAATGATGGTGACATTGAAGCTAGTGGTGGTGACATTGATGCTAGTGATGATGACATTGATGGTAGTGATGATGACATTGATGGTAGTACTGGTGAAATTGATGGTAGTGCTGGTAACATTGATGGTAGTGCTGAATACATTGATGGTAGTGCTGGTGACATTGATGGCAGTGCTGGTGACATTGATGGTAGTGCTGGTGACATTGATGGTAGTGATGATGACATTGATGGTAGTGCTGGTGACATTGATGGTAGTGCTGGTGACATTGATGGTAGTGATGATGACATTGATGGTGGTGCTGGTGAAATTGATGGTAGTGCTGGTGACATTGATGTTTGTGCTGGTGACATTGATGGTAGTGATGATGACATTGATGGTAGTGCTTGTGACATTGATAGTAGTGCTGGTGACATTGATGGTAGTGCTGGTAACATTGATGGTAGTGCTGGTGACATTGATGGTAGTGATGATGACATTGATGGTAGTGCTGGTGACATTGAAGCTGGTGATGGTGACATTATTGTTAGTGATGGTGACATTAAAGCTAATGATGGTGACATTGAAGCTAGTGGTGGTGACATTGATGCTAGTGATGATGACATTGATGGTAGTGATGATGACATTGATGGTAGTACTGGTGAAATTGATGGTAGTGCTGGTAACATTGATGGTAGTGCTGAATACATTGATGGTAGTGCTGGTGACATTGATGGCAGTGCTGGTGACATTGATGGTAGTGCTGGTGACATTGATGGTAGTGATGGTGACATTGATGGTAGTGCTGGTGACATTGATGGTAGTGCTGGTGACATTGATGGTAGTGCTGGTAACATTTATGGCAGTGTTGGTGACATTGATGGTAGTGATGATGACATTGATGGTAGTGCTGGTAACATTTATGGTAGTGTTGGTGACATTGATGGTAGTGATGATGACATTGATGGTAGTACTGGTGACATTGATGGCAGTGCTGGTGACATTGATGGTAGTGCTGGTGACATTGATGGTAGTGATGACATTGATGGTAGTGCTGGTGACAGTGATGGTAGTGCTGGTGACATTGATGGTAGTGCTGGTGCCATTAAAGCTAGTGATGGTGACATTGAAGTTAGCGATGGTGACATTGAAGCTAGTGACGTTGACATTAAAGCTACTGATGGTGACATTGACGCAAGTGACGGTGACATGGAAGGCAATGATTGACATTAAAGCTAGTGACGGTGACATTGAACCTTGTGACGGTGACATAGAAGCTAGCGATGGTGACATTCATGCTAGTTACTGTCACATTGAAGCAAGTGACGGTGACATTATTGTTAGTGATGGTGACATTAAAGCTAATGATGGTGACATTGAAGCTAGTGGTGGTGACATTGACGCTAGTGACTGTGACATTGATGCTAGTTCTGGTGACATTGATGCTAGTTCTGGTGACATTGATGGTAGTGCTGGTGAAATTGATGGTAGTGCTGGTGACATTGATGGTAGTGCTGGTGACATTGAAGCTAGTGGTGGTGACATTGACGCTAGTGACTGTGACATTGATGGTAGTGCTGGTGACATTGATGGTAGTGCTGGTGACATTGATGCTAGTTCTGGTGACATTGATGGTGGTGCTGGTGACATTGATGGTAGTGCTGGTGACATTGATGCTAGTTCTGGTGACATTGAAGCTAGTGGTGGTGACATTGACGCTAGTGACTGTGACATTGATGGTAGTGCTGGTGACATTGATGGTAGTGCTGGTGACATTGATGCTAGTTCTGGTGACATTGATGGTGGTGCTGGTGAAATTGATGGTAGTGCTGGTGACATTGATGTTTGTGCTGGTGACATTGATGGTAGTGATGATGACATTGATGGTAGTGCTGGTAACATTTATGGTAGTGCTGAATACATTGATGGTAGTGCTGGTGACATTGATGGTAGTGACGGTGATATTAATGCTACTGCTGGTGACATTGATGGTAGTGGTGGTGACATTGATGCTAGTGGCTGTGACATTGATGGTAGTGATGATGACATTGATGGTAGTACTGGTGACATTGATGCTGGTGATGATGACATTGATGGTAGTGATGATGACATTGATGGTAGTACTGGTGAAATTGATGGTAGTGCTGGTAACATTGATGGTAGTGCTGAAGACATTGATGGTAGTGCTGGTGACATTGATGGCAGCGCTGGTGACATTGATGGTAGTGCTGGTGACATTGATGGTAGTGATGATGACATTGATGGTAGTGCTGGTGACATTGATGGTAGTGTTGGTAACATTTATGGTAGTGCTGAATACATTGATGGTAGTGCTGGTGACATTGATGGTAGTGACGGTGATATAAGGCTAATGCTGGTGACATTGATGGTAGTGGTGGTGACATTGATGCTAGTGGCTGTGACATTGATGCTAGTGATGATGACATTGATGGTAGTACTGGTGAAATTGATGGTAGTGCTGGTAACATTGATGGTAGTGCTGAATACATTGATGGTAGTGCTGGTGACATTGATGGCAGTGCTGGTGACATTGATGGCAGTGCTGGTGACATTGATGGTAGTGATGATGACATTGATGGTAGTGCTGGTGACATTGATGGTAGTGCTGGTGACATTGATGGTAGTTATGATGACATTGATGGTAGTGCTGGTGACATTGATGGTAGTGCTGGTGACATTGATGGCAGTGCTGGTGACATTGATGGTAGTGATGATGACATTGATGGTAGTGCTGGTAACATTTATGGTAGTGCTGATTAAATTGATGGTAGTGCTGGTGACAGTGATGGTAGTTTCGGTGATATTAATGCTACTGCTTAATGCCCGTGATGGTGACAGTGATGCAAGCAACTCTGAAATTGAACCTTGTGGAGGTGACACTGAAGCTATTATTGGTGACATTGAAGCTAGTATTGGTACCATTAAAGTTAGTGAAGGTGACATTGATGCTGGTGATTGTGATATTGAAAGAAGTGATTGACATTGAGGCTAGTGACGGGGACATTGAAACTAATGAATTTGATATTGATGTTAGTTACGGTGACATTGAAGCCAGTTCTGGTGACAAAAAGCGAGTATTGGTGACATTAAGTTAGTGATGATAACATTAAATCTAGTGATAATGACGTTGAAGCTAGTGATTGTGACATTGAATCTAGTGATAATGACGTTGAAGCTAGTGATGGTGCAATAGAAGCTTGTGGCTGACATTGAAGCTAGTGACGGTGACATTGATGGAAATGACGGTGACATTGAAGCTAGTGACGGTGTCATTGAAGCTACTGATGGTGACATTGTTGCTAGTGACGGTGACATTGAAGCTAGTGACGGTGACATTGAAGCTAGTGACGGTGACATTGAAGCTAGTGACGGTGACGTAGAAGCTAGTGACTGTGACGTAGAAGCTAGTGATGGTGACATTGAAGCTAGTGACTGTGACGTAGAAGCTAGTGACTTTGACGTAGAAGCTAGTGATGGTGACATTGAAGCTAGTGATGGTGACATTGAAGCTAGTGACTGTGACGTAGAACCTAGTGATGGTGACATTGAAGCTAGTGACGGTGACATTGAAGCTAGTGACTGTGACGTAGAAGCTAGTGACTGTGACGTAGAAGCTAGTGCTGGTGACATTGATGGTAGTGCTGGTGACATTGAAGCTAGTGGTGGTGACATTGACGCTAGTGACTGTGACATTGATGGTAGTGCTGGTGACATTGATGGTAGTGCTGGTGACATTGATGCTAGTTCTGGTGACATTGATGGTGGTGCTGGTGAAATTGATGGTAGTGCTGGTGACATTGATGTTTGTGCTGGTGACATTGATGGTAGTGATGATGACATTGATGGTAGTGCTTGTGACATTGATGGTAGTGCTTGTGACATTGATGGTAGTGCTGGTAACATTGATGGTAGTGCTGGTGACATTGATGGTAGTGATGATGACATTGATGGTAGTGCTGGTGACATTGAAGCTGGTGATGGTGACATTGACGCAAGTGATGGTGACATTAAAGCTAATGATGGTGACATTGAAGCTAGTGGTGGTGACATTGATGCTAGTGATGATGACATTGATGGTAGTGATGATGACATTGATGGTAGTACTGGTGAAATTGATGGTAGTGCTGGTAACATTGATGGTAGTGCTGAATACATTGATGGTAGTGCTGGTGACATTGATGGCAGTGCTGGTGACATTGATGGTAGTGCTGGTGACATTGATGGTAGTGATGATGACATTGATGGTAGTGCTGGTGACATTGATGGTAGTGCTGGTGACATTGATGGTAGTGATGATGACATTGATGGTGGTGCTGGTGAAATTGATGGTAGTGCTGGTGACATTGATGTTTGTGCTGGTGACATTGATGGTAGTGATGATGACATTGATGGTAGTGCTTGTGACATTGATAGTAGTGCTGGTGACATTGATGGTAGTGCTGGTAACATTGATGGTAGTGCTGGTGACATTGATGGTAGTGATGATGACATTGATGGTAGTGCTGGTGACATTGAAGCTGGTGATGGTGACATTATTGTTAGTGATGGTGACATTAAAGCTAATGATGGTGACATTGAAGCTAGTGGTGGTGACATTGATGCTAGTGATGATGACATTGATGGTAGTGATGATGACATTGATGGTAGTACTGGTGAAATTGATGGTAGTGCTGGTAACATTGATGGTAGTGCTGAATACATTGATGGTAGTGCTGGTGACATTGATGGCAGTGCTGGTGACATTGATGGTAGTGCTGGTGACATTGATGGTAGTGATGGTGACATTGATGGTAGTGCTGGTGACATTGATGGTAGTGCTGGTGACATTGATGGTAGTGCTGGTAACATTTATGGCAGTGTTGGTGACATTGATGGTAGTGATGATGACATTGATGGTAGTACTGGTGACATTGATGGCAGTGCTGGTGACATTGATGGTAGTGCTGGTGACATTGATGGTAGTGATGACATTGATGGTAGTGCTGGTGACAGTGATGGTAGTGCTGGTGACATTGATGGTAGTGCTGGTGCCATTAAAGCTAGTGATGGTGACATTGAAGTTAGCGATGGTGACATTGAAGCTAGTGACGTTGACATTAAAGCTACTGATGGTGACATTGACGCAAGTGACGGTGACATGGAAGGCAATGATTGACATTAAAGCTAGTGACGGTGACATTGAACCTTGTGACGGTGACATAGAAGCTAGCGATGGTGACATTCATGCTAGTTACTGTCACATTGAAGCAAGTGACGGTGACATTATTGTTAGTGATGGTGACATTAAAGCTAATGATGGTGACATTGAAGCTAGTGCTGGTGACATTGATGGTAGTGCTGGTAACATTTATGGTAGTGCTGAATACATTGATGGTAGTGCTGGTGACATTGATGGTAGTGACGGTGATATTAATGCTACCGCTGGTGACATTGATGGTAGTGGTGGTGACATTGATGCTAGTGGCTGTGACATTGATGCTAGTGATGATGACATTGATGGTAGTGATGATGACATTGATGGTAGTACTGGTGAAATTGATGGTAGTGCTGGTAACATTGATGGTAGTGCTGAATACATTGATGGTAGTGATGGTGACATTGATGGCAGTGCTGATGACATTGATGGTAGTGCTGGTGACATTGATGGTAGTGAAGATGACATTGATGGTAGTGCTGGTGACATTGATGGTAGTGCTGGTGACATTGATGGCAGTGCTGGTGACATTGATGGTAGTGCTGGTGACATTGATGGTAGTGATGATGACATTGATGGTAGTGCTGGTGACATTGATGGTAGTGCTGGTGACATTGATGGTAGTGATGATGACATTGATGGTAGTGCTGGTGACATTGATGGTAGTGCTGGTGACATTGATGGTAGTGCTGGTCACATTTATGGTAGTGTTGGTGACATTGATGGTAGTGATGATGACATTGATGGTAGTACTGGTCACATTGATGGCAGTGCTGGTGACATTGATGGCAGTGCTGGTGACATTGATGGTAGTGATGATGACATTGATGGTAGTGGTGGTGACATTGATGGTAGTGCTGGTAACATTTATGGTAGTGCTGAATACATTGATGGTAGTGCTGGTGACATTGATGGTAGTGACGATGATATTAATGCTACTGCTGGTGACATTGATGGTAGTGGTGGTGACATTGATGCTAGTGGCTGTGACATTGATGCTAGTGATGATGACATTGATGGTAGTGATGATGACATTGATGGAAGTGCTGGTGACATTGATGGTAGTGATGATGACATTGATGGTAGTGCTGGTGACATTGATGGTAGTGCTGGTGACATTGATGGTAGTGCTGGTAACATTTATGGTAGTGCTGAATACATTGATGCTACTGCTGGTGAAATTGATGGTAGTGCTGGTGACATTGATGTTTGTGCTGGTGACATTGATGGTAGTGATGATGACATTGATGGTAGTGCTTGTGACATTGATGGTAGTGCTTGTGACATTGATGGTAGTGCTGGTAACATTGATGGTAGTGCTGGTGACATTGATGGTAGTGATGATGACATTGATGGTAGTGCTGGTGACATTGAAGCTGGTGATGGTGACATTGACGCAAGTGATGGTGACATTAAAGCTAATGATGGTGACATTGAAGCTAGTGGTGGTGACATTGATGCTAGTGATGATGACATTGATGGTAGTGATGATGACATTGATGGTAGTACTGGTGAAATTGATGGTAGTGCTGGTAACATTGATGGTAGTGCTGAATACATTGATGGTAGTGCTGGTGACATTGATGGCAGTGCTGGTGACATTGATGGTAGTGCTGGTGACATTGATGGTAGTGATGATGACATTGATGGTAGTGCTGGTGACATTGATGGTAGTGCTGGTGACATTGATGGTAGTGATGATGACATTGATGGTGGTGCTGGTGAAATTGATGGTAGTGCTGGTGACATTGATGTTTGTGCTGGTGACATTGATGGTAGTGATGATGACATTGATGGTAGTGCTTGTGACATTGATAGTAGTGCTGGTGACATTGATGGTAGTGCTGGTAACATTGATGGTAGTGCTGGTGACATTGATGGTAGTGATGATGACATTGATGGTAGTGCTGGTGACATTGAAGCTGGTGATGGTGACATTATTGTTAGTGATGGTGACATTAAAGCTAATGATGGTGACATTGAAGCTAGTGGTGGTGACATTGATGCTAGTGATGATGACATTGATGGTAGTGATGATGACATTGATGGTAGTACTGGTGAAATTGATGGTAGTGCTGGTAACATTGATGGTAGTGCTGAATACATTGATGGTAGTGCTGGTGACATTGATGGCAGTGCTGGTGACATTGATGGTAGTGCTGGTGACATTGATGGTAGTGATGGTGACATTGATGGTAGTGCTGGTGACATTGATGGTAGTGCTGGTGACATTGATGGTAGTGCTGGTAACATTTATGGCAGTGCTGGTGACATTGATGGTAGTGATGATGACATTGATGGTAGTGCTGGTAACATTTATGGTAGTGTTGGTGACATTGATGGTAGTGATGATGACATTGATGGTAGTACTGGTGACATTGATGGCAGTGCTGGTGACATTGATGGTAGTGCTGGTGACATTGATGGTAGTGATGACATTGATGGTAGTGCTAGTGACATTGATGGTAGTGCTGGTAACATTTATGGTAGTGCTGAATACATTGATGGTAGTGCTGGTGACATTGATGGTAGTGACGGTGATATTAATGCTACCGCTGGTGACATTGATGGTAGTGGTGGTGACATTGATGCTAGTGGCTGTGACATTGATGCTAGTGATGATGACATTGATGGTAGTGATGATGACATTGATGGTAGTACTGGTGAAATTGATGGTAGTGCTGGTAACATTGATGGTAGTGCTGAATACATTGATGGTAGTGATGGTGACATTGATGGCAGTGCTGATGACATTGATGGTAGTGCTGGTGACATTGATGGTAGTGAAGATGACATTGATGGTAGTGCTGGTGACATTGATGGTAGTGCTGGTGACATTGATGGCAGTGCTGGTGACATTGATGGTAGTGCTGGTGACATTGATGGTAGTGATGATGACATTGATGGTAGTGCTGGTGACATTGATGGTAGTGCTGGTGACATTGATGGTAGTGATGATGACATTGATGGTAGTGCTGGTGACATTGATGGTAGTGCTGGTGACATTGATGGTAGTGCTGGTCACATTTATGGTAGTGTTGGTGACATTGATGGTAGTGATGATGACATTGATGGTAGTACTGGTCACATTGATGGCAGTGCTGGTGACATTGATGGCAGTGCTGGTGACATTGATGGTAGTGATGATGACATTGATGGTAGTGGTGGTGACATTGATGGTAGTGCTGGTAACATTTATGGTAGTGCTGAATACATTGATGGTAGTGCTGGTGACATTGATGGTAGTGACGATGATATTAATGCTACTGCTGGTGACATTGATGGTAGTGGTGGTGACATTGATGCTAGTGGCTGTGACATTGATGCTAGTGATGATGACATTGATGGTAGTGATGATGACATTGATGGAAGTGCTGGTGACATTGATGGTAGTGATGATGACATTGATGGTAGTGCTGGTGACATTGATGGTAGTGCTGGTAACATTTATGGTAGTGCTGAATACATTGATGCTACTGCTGGTGACATTGATGGTAGTGGTGGTGACATTGATGCTAGTGGCTGTGACATTGATGGTAGTGATGATGACATTGATGGTAGTACTGGTGACATTGATGCTAGTGATGATGACATTGATGGAAGTGATGATGACATTGATGGTAGTACTGGTGAAATTGATGGTAGTGCTGGTAACATTGATGGTAGTGCTGAAGACATTGATGGTAGTGCTGGTGACATTGATGGCAGTGCTGGTGACATTGATGGTAGTGCTGGTGACATTGATGGTAGTGATGATGACATTGATGGTAGTGCTGGTGACATTGATGGTAGTGCTGGTAACATTTATGGTAGTGCTGAATACATTGATGGTAGTGCTGGTGACATTGATGGTAGTGACGGTGATATAAGGCTAATGCTGGTGACATTGATGGTAGTGGTGGTGACATTGATGCTAGTGGCTGTGACATTGATGCTAGTGATGATGACATTGATGGTAGTACTGGTGAAATTGATGGTAGTGCTTGTGACATTGATGGTAGTGACGATGATATTAATGCTACTGCTGGTGACATTGATGGTAGTGGTGGTGACATTGATGCTAGTGGCTGTGACATTGATGCTAGTGATGATGACATTGATGGTAGTGATGATGACATTGATGGTAGTGCTGGTGACATTGATGGTAGTGATGATGACATTGATGGTAGTGCTGGTGACATTTATAGTAGTGCTGAATACATTGATGGTAGTGCTGGTGACATTGATGGTAGTGACGGTGATATTAATGCTACTGCTGGTGACATTGATGGTAGTGGTGGTGACATTGATGCTAGTGGCTGTGACATTGATGGTAGTGATGATGACATTGATGGTAGTACTGGTGACATTGATGCTGGTGATGATGACATTGATGGTAGTGATGATGACATTGATGGTAGTACTGGTGAAATTGATGGTAGTGCTGGTAACATTGATGGTAGTGCTGAAGACATTGATGGTAGTGCTGGTGACATTGATGGCAGCGCTGGTGACATTGATGGTAGTGCTGGTGACATTGATGGTAGTGATGATGACATTGATGGTAGTGCTGGTGACATTGATGGTAGTGTTGGTAACATTTATGGTAGTGCTGAATACATTGATGGTAGTGCTGGTGATATTGATGGTAGTGACGGTGATATAAGGCTAATGCTGGTGACATTGATGGTAGTGGTGGTGACATTGATGCTAGTGGCTGTGACATTGATGCTAGTGATGATGACATTGATGGTAGTACTGGTGAAATTGATGGTAGTGCTGGTAACATTGATGGTAGTGCTGAATACATTGATGGTAGTGCTGGTGACATTGATGGCAGTGCTGGTGACATTGATGGCAGTGCTGGTGACATTGATGGTAGTGATGATGACATTGATGGTAGTGCTGGTGACATTGATGGTAGTGCTGGTGACATTGATGGTAGTTATGATGACATTGATGGTAGTGCTGGTGACATTGATGGTAGTGCTGGTGACATTGATGGCAGTGCTGGTGACATTGATGGTAGTGATGATGACATTGATGGTAGTGCTGGTAACATTTATGGTAGTGCTGATTAAATTGATGGTAGTGCTGGTGACAGTGATGGTAGTTTCGGTGATATTAATGCTACTGCTTAATGCCCGTGATGGTGACAGTGATGCAAGCAACTCTGAAATTGAACCTTGTGGAGGTGACACTGAAGCTATTATTGGTGACATTGAAGCTAGTATTGGTACCATTAAAGTTAGTGAAGGTGACATTGATGCTGGTGATTGTGATATTGAAAGAAGTGATTGACATTGAGGCTAGTGACGGGGACATTGAAACTAATGAATTTGATATTGATGTTAGTTACGGTGACATTGAAGCCAGTTCTGGTGACAAAAAGCGAGTATTGGTGACATTAAGTTAGTGATGATAACATTAAATCTAGTGATAATGACGTTGAAGCTAGTGATTGTGACATTGAATCTAGTGATAATGACGTTGAAGCTAGTGATGGTGCAATAGAAGCTTGTGGCTGACATTGAAGCTAGTGACGGTGACATTGATGGAAATGACGGTGACATTGAAGCTAGTGACGGTGTCATTGAAGCTACTGATGGTGACATTGTTGCTAGTGACGGTGACATTGAAGCTAGTGACGGTGACATTGAAGCTAGTGACGGTGACATTGAAGCTAGTGACGGTGACGTAGAAGCTAGTGACTGTGACGTAGAAGCTAGTGATGGTGACATTGAAGCTAGTGACTGTGACGTAGAAGCTAGTGACTTTGACGTAGAAGCTAGTGATGGTGACATTGAAGCTAGTGATGGTGACATTGAAGCTAGTGACTGTGACGTAGAACCTAGTGATGGTGACATTGAAGCTAGTGACGGTGACATTGAAGCTAGTGACTGTGACGTAGAAGCTAGTGACTGTGACGTAGAAGCTAGTGCTGGTGACATTGAAGCTAGTGACGTTGACATTGAAGCTAGTGACTGTGACGTAGAACCTAGTGATGGTGACATTGAAGCTAGTGACTGTGACGTAGAAGCTAGTGATGGTGACGTTGAAGCTAGTTACGGTGACATTGAAGCTAGTGACTGTAACGTAGAAGCTAGTGACTGTGACGTAGAAGCTAGTGATGGTGACATTGAAGCTAGTGACTGTGACGTAGAAGCTAGTGACGGTGACATTGAAGCTAGTTATGACATTGATGGTGGTGCTTGTGACATTGATGGTAGTGATGATGACAGTGATGTAGTGATGATGACATTGATGCTAGTGATGATCACAATGATAGAAGTGCTGGTCACATTGATGCTAGAGTGCTGGTGCCATTGAAACTAGTGACGTCGACATTGAACCTTTTGATGGTGACATTAAAGCTAGTGAATGTGACATTAAAGTTAGTGATGGTGACATTGAAGCTAGTGATGGTGACATTGAAGCTACCGACGCTGACATTGAAGCTAGTGACGTTGACATTAAAGCTAGTGACGTTGACATTAAAGCTAGTGATGGTGACATTGAAGATAGTGATGGTGACATTGAAGCTAGTGATGGTGACATTAAAGCTAGTGATGGTGACATTGAAGATAGTGATGGTGACATTGAAGCTAGTGATAATGACATTGAAGCTAGTGACTGTGACATTGAAGATAGTGATGGTGAAATTGAAGCTAGTGATGGTGACATTGAAGCTAGTGATGGTGACATTGAAGCTTGTGATGGTGACATTGAAGCTAGTGATGGTGACATTGAAGATAGTGACTGTGACGTAGAAGCTAGTGACGGTGACGTTGAAGCTAGTTACGGTGACATTGAAGCTAGTGACTGTAACGTAGACGCTAGTGACTGTGACGTAGAAGCTAGTGATGGTGACATTGAAGCTAGTGACTGTGACGTAGAAGCTAGTGACGGTGACATTGAAGCTAGTTATGACATTGATGGTGGTGCTTGTGACATTGATGGTAGTGATGATGACAGTGATGTAGTGATGATGACATTGATGCTAGTGATGATGACAATGATAGAAGTGCTGGTCACATTGATGCTAGAGTGCTGGTGCCATTGAAACTAGTGACGTCGACATTGAACCTTTTGATGGTGACATTAAAGCTAGTGAATGTGACATTAAAGTTAGTGATGGTGACATTGAAGCTAGTGATGGTGACTTTGAAGCTACCGACGCTGACATTGAAGCTAGTGACGTTGACATTAAAGCTAGTGACGTTGACATTAAAGCTAGTGATGGTGACATTGAAGATAGTGATGGTGACATTGAAGCTAGTGATGGTGACATTAAAGCTAGTGATGGTGACATTGAAGATATTGATGGTGACATTGAAGCTAGTGATAATGACATTGAAGCTAGTGATGGTGACATTGAAGCTAGTGATGGTGACATTGAAGCTTGTGATGCTGACATTGAAGCAAGTGATGGTGACATTGAAGATAGTGATGGTGACATTGAAGCTAGTGACTGTGACATTGAAGATAGTGATGGTGACATTGAAGATAGTGATGGTGACATTGAAGCTAGTGATGGTGACATTAAAGCTACTGATGGTGACATTGAAGCTAGTGATGGTGACATTGACGCTAGTGATGGTGACATTGAAGCTAGTGTTGGTGACATTAAAGCTACTGATGGTGACATTGAAGCTAGTGATGGTGACATTGAAGCTAGTGATGGTGACATTAAAGCTACTGATGGTGACATTGAAGCTAGTGATGGTGACATTGAAGCTAATGATGGTGACATTGAAGCTAGTGTTGGTGACATTAAAGCTACTGATGGTGACATTGAAGCTAGTGATGGTGACATTGAAGCTAGTGATGGTGACATTGAAGCTAGTGATGGTGACATTGAAGCTAGTGTTGGTGACATTAAAGCTAGTGATGGTGACATTGAAGCTAGTGATGGTGACATTAAAGCTAGTGATGGTGACATTGAAGCTAGTGATGGTGACATTGAAGCTAGTGATGGTGACATTGAAGCAAGTGATGGTGACATTGAAGCTAGTGTTGGTGACATTAAAGCTACTGATGGTGACATTGAAGCTAGTGATGGTGACATTGAAGCTAGTGATGGTGACATTGAAGCTAGTGATGGTGACATTGAAGCTAGTGACTGTGACGTAGAACCTAGTGATGGTGACATTGAAGCTAGTGACGGTGACATTGAAGCTAGTGACTGTGACGTAGAAGCTAGTGACTGTGACGTAGAAGCTAGTGCTGGTGACATTGAAGCTAGTGACGTTGACATTGAAGCTAGTGACTGTGACGTAGAACCTAGTGATGGTGACATTGAAGCTAGTGACTGTGACGTAGAAGCTAGTGATGGTGACGTTGAAGCTAGTTACGGTGACATTGAAGCTAGTGACTGTAACGTAGAAGCTAGTGACTGTGACGTAGAAGCTAGTGATGGTGACATTGAAGCTAGTGACTGTGACGTAGAAGCTAGTGACGGTGACATTGAAGCTAGTTATGACATTGATGGTGGTGCTTGTGACATTGATGGTAGTGATGATGACAGTGATGTAGTGATGATGACATTGATGCTAGTGATGATCACAATGATAGAAGTGCTGGTCACATTGATGCTAGAGTGCTGGTGCCATTGAAACTAGTGACGTCGACATTGAACCTTTTGATGGTGACATTAAAGCTAGTGAATGTGACATTAAAGTTAGTGATGGTGACATTGAAGCTAGTGATGGTGACATTGAAGCTACCGACGCTGACATTGAAGCTAGTGACGTTGACATTAAAGCTAGTGACGTTGACATTAAAGCTAGTGATGGTGACATTGAAGATAGTGATGGTGACATTGAAGCTAGTGATGGTGACATTAAAGCTAGTGATGGTGACATTGAAGATAGTGATGGTGACATTGAAGCTAGTGATAATGACATTGAAGCTAGTGACTGTGACATTGAAGATAGTGATGGTGAAATTGAAGCTAGTGATGGTGACATTGAAGCTAGTGATGGTGACATTGAAGCTTGTGATGGTGACATTGAAGCTAGTGATGGTGACATTGAAGATAGTGACTGTGACGTAGAAGCTAGTGACGGTGACGTTGAAGCTAGTTACGGTGACATTGAAGCTAGTGACTGTAACGTAGACGCTAGTGACTGTGACGTAGAAGCTAGTGATGGTGACATTGAAGCTAGTGACTGTGACGTAGAAGCTAGTGACGGTGACATTGAAGCTAGTTATGACATTGATGGTGGTGCTTGTGACATTGATGGTAGTGATGATGACAGTGATGTAGTGATGATGACATTGATGCTAGTGATGATGACAATGATAGAAGTGCTGGTCACATTGATGCTAGAGTGCTGGTGCCATTGAAACTAGTGACGTCGACATTGAACCTTTTGATGGTGACATTAAAGCTAGTGAATGTGACATTAAAGTTAGTGATGGTGACATTGAAGCTAGTGATGGTGACTTTGAAGCTACCGACGCTGACATTGAAGCTAGTGACGTTGACATTAAAGCTAGTGACGTTGACATTAAAGCTAGTGATGGTGACATTGAAGATAGTGATGGTGACATTGAAGCTAGTGATGGTGACATTAAAGCTAGTGATGGTGACATTGAAGATATTGATGGTGACATTGAAGCTAGTGATAATGACATTGAAGCTAGTGATGGTGACATTGAAGCTAGTGATGGTGACATTGAAGCTTGTGATGCTGACATTGAAGCTAGTGATGGTGACATTGAAGATAGTGATGGTGACATTGAAGCTAGTGACTGTGACATTGAAGATAGTGATGGTGACATTGAAGATAGTGATGGTGACATTGAAGCTAGTGATGGTGACATTAAAGCTACTGATGGTGACATTGAAGCTAGTGATGGTGACATTGACGCTAGTGATGGTGACATTGAAGCTAGTGTTGGTGACATTAAAGCTACTGATGGTGACATTGAAGCTAGTGATGGTGACATTGAAGCTAGTGATGGTGACATTAAAGCTACTGATGGTGACATTGAAGCTAGTGATGGTGACATTGAAGCTAATGATGGTGACATTGAAGCTAGTGTTGGTGACATTAAAGCTACTGATGGTGACGTTGAAGCTAGTGATGGTGACATTGAAGCTAGTGATGGTGACATTGAAGCTAGTGATGGTGACATTGAAGCTAGTGTTGGTGACATTAAAGCTAGTGATGGTGACATTGAAGCTAGTGATGGTGACATTAAAGCTAGTGATGGTGACATTGAAGCTAGTGATGGTGACATTGAAGCTAGTGATGGTGACATTGAAGCAAGTGATGGTGACATTGAAGCTAGTGTTGGTGACATTAAAGCTACTGATGGTGACATTGAAGCTAGTGATGGTGACATTGAAGCTAGTGATGGTGACATTAAAGCTACTGATGGTAACATTGAAGCTAGTGATGGTGACATTGAAGCTAATGATGGTGACATTGAAGCTAGTGTTGGTGACATTAAAGCCACTGATGGTGACATTGAAGCTAGTGATGGTGACATTGAAGCTAGTGATGGTGACATTGAAGTTAGTGATGGTGACATTGAAGCTAGTGATGGTGACATTGAAACTAGTGTGGTGACATTAAAGCTACTGATGGTGACATTAAAGCTAGTGATGGTGACATTGAAGATAGTGATGGTGACATTGAAGCTAGTGATGGTGACATTAAAGCTACTGTTGGTGACATTAAAGCTAGTGATGGTGACATTGAAGCTAGTGATGGTGACATTGAAGCTAGTGATGGTGACATTGAAGCTTGTGATGGTGACATTGAAGCTAGTGATGGTGATATTGAAGTTAGTGATGGTGACATTGAAGCTTGTGATGGTGACATTGAAGCTAGTGTTGGTGACATTGAAGCTAGTGACTGTGACATTGAAGCTTGTGATGGTGACATTGAAGCTAGTGATGGTGACATTGAAGCTAGTGATGGTGACATTGAAGCTTGTGATGGTGACATTGAAGCTAGTGATGGTGATATTGAAGTTAGTGATGGTGACATTGAAGCTAGTGACTGTGACATTGAAGATAGTGATGGTGACATTGAAGAAAGTGATGGTGACATTGAAGCTAGTGACTGTGACATTGAAGATAGTGATGGTGACATTGAAGCTAGTGTTGGTGACATTGAAGCTAGTGACTGTGACATTGAAGCTTGTGATGGTGACATTGAAGCTAGTGATGGTGACATAAAAGCTACTGATGGTGACATTGAAGCTAGTGATGGTGACATTGACGCTAGTGATGGTGACATTGAAGCTAGTGTTGGTGACATTAAAGCTACTGATGTTGACATTGAAGCTAGTGATGGTGACATTGAAGCTAGTGATGGTGACATTAAAGCTACTGATGGTGACATTGAAGCTAGTAATGGTGACATTGAAGCTAATGATGGTGACATTGAAGCTAGTGTTGGTGACATTAAAGCTACTGATGGTAACATTGAAGCTAGTGATGGTGACATTGAATCTAGTGATGGTGACATTGAAGTTAGTGATGTTGACATTGAAGCTAGTGTTGGTGACATTAAAGCTAGTGATGGTGACATTGAAGCTAGTGATGGTGACATTAAAGCTAGTGATGGTGACATTGAAGCTAGTGATGGTGACATTGAAGCTAGTGATGGTGACATTGAAGCTAGTGATGGTGACATTGAAGCTAGTGTTGGTGACATTAAAGCTACTGATGGTGACATTGAAGCTAGTGATGGTAACATTGAAGCTAGTGATGGTGACATTAAAGCTACTGATGGTAACATTGAAGCTAGTGATGGTGACATTAGAGCTAATGATGGTGACATTGAAGCTAGTGTTGGTGACATTGAAGCTAGTGATGGTGACATTGAAGATAGTGATGGTGACATTGAAGCTAGTGATAATGACATTGAAGCTAGTGACTGTGACATTGAAGATAGTGATGGTGAAATTGAAGCTAGTGATGGTGACATTGAAGCTAGTGATGGTGACATTGAAGCTTGTGATGGTGACATTGAAGCTAGTGATGGTGACATTGAAGATAGTGACTGTGACGTAGAAGCTAGTGACGGTGACGTTGAAGCTAGTGATGGTGACATTGAAGCTTGTGATGGTGACATTGAAGCTAGTGATGGTGACATTGAAGATAGTGACGGTGACGTAGAAGCTAGTGACGGTGACATTGAAGCTAGTGACGGTGACATTGAAGCTAGTGACTGTAACGTAGACGCTAGTGACTGTGACGTAGAAGCTAGTGATGGTGACATTGAAGCTAGTGACTGTGACGTAGAAGCTAGTGACTGTGACGTAGAAGCTAGTGACGGTGACATTGAAGCTAGTTATGACATTGATGGTGGTGCTTGTGACATTGATGGTAGTGATGATGACAGTGATGTAGTGATGATGACATTGATGCTAGTGATGATGACAATGATAGAAGTGCTGGTCACATTGATGCTAGAGTGCTGGTGCCATTGAAACTAGTGACGTCGACATTGAACCTTTTGATGGTGACATTAAAGCTAGTGAATGTGACATTAAAGTTAGTGATGGTGACATTGAAGCTAGTGATGGTGACTTTGAAGCTACCGACGCTGACATTGAAGCTAGTGACGTTGACATTAAAGCTAGTGACGTTGACATTAAAGCTAGTGATGGTGACATTGAAGATAGTGATGGTGACATTGAAGCTAGTGATGGTGACATTAAAGCTAGTGATGGTGACATTGAAGATATTGATGGTGACATTGAAGCTAGTGATAATGACATTGAAGCTAGTGATGGTGACATTGAAGCTAGTGATGGTGACATTGAAGCTTGTGATGGTGACATTGAAGCTAGTGATGGTGACATTGAAGATAGTGATGGTGACATTGAAGCTAGTGACTGTGACATTGAAGATAGTGATGGTGACATTGAAGATAGTGATGGTGACATTGAAGCTAGTGATGGTGACATTGAAGCTTGTGATGGTGACATTGAAGCTAGTGATGGTGACATTAAAGCTACTGATGGTGACATTGAAGCTAGTGATGGTGACATTGACGCTAGTGATGGTGACATTGAAGCTAGTGTTGGTGACATTAAAGCTACTGATGGTGACATTGAAGCTAGTGATGGTGACATTGAAGCTAGTGATGGTGACATTAAAGCTACTGATGGTGACATTGAAGCTAGTGATGGTGACATTGAAGCTAATGATGGTGACATTGAAGCTAGTGTTGGTGACATTAAAGCTACTGATGGTGACATTGAAGCTAGTGATGGTGACATTGAAGCTAGTGATGGTGACATTGAAGCTAGTGATGGTGACATTGAAGCTAGTGTTGGTGACATTAAAGCTAGTGATGGTGACATTGAAGCTAGTGATGGTGACATTAAAGCTAGTGATGGTGACATTGAAGCTAGTGATGGTGACATTGAAGCTAGTGATGGTGACATTGAAGCTAGTGATGGTGACATTGAAGCTAGTGTTGGTGACATTAAAGCTACTGATGGTGACATTGAAGCTAGTGATGGTGACATTGAAGCTAGTGATGGTGACATTAAAGCTACTGATGGTAACATTGAAGCTAGTGATGGTGACATTGAAGCTAATGATGGTGACATTGAAGCTAGTGTTGGTGACATTAAAGCCACTGATGGTGACATTGAAGCTAGTGATGGTGACATTGAAGCTAGTGATGGTGACATTGAAGCTAGTGATGGTGACATTGAAGCTAGTGATGGTGACATTAAAACTAGTGTGGTGACATTAAAGCTACTGATGGTGACATTAAAGCTAGTGATGGTGACATTGAAGATAGTGATGGTGACATTGAAGCTAGTGATGGTGACATTAAAGCTAATGTTGGTGACATTAAAGCTACTGATGGTGACATTGAAGCTAGTGATGGTGACATTGAAGCTAGTGATGGTGACATTGAAGCTTGTGATGGTGACATTGAAGCTAGTGATGGTGATATTGAAGTTAGTGATGGTGACATTGAAGCTAGTGATGGTGACATTGAAGATAGTGATGTTGACATTGAAGAAAGTGATGGTGACATTGAAGCTAGTGACTGTGACATTGAAGATAGTGATGGTGACATTGAAGCTAGTGTTGGTGACATTGAAGCTAGTGACTGTGACATTGAAGCTTGTGATGGTGACATTGAAGCTAGTGATGGTGACATAAAAGCTACTGATGGTGACATTGAAGCTAGTGATGGTGACATTGACGCTAGTGATGGTGACATTGAAGCTAGTGTTGGTGACATTAAAGCTACTGATGGTGACATTGAAGCTAGTGATGGTGACATTGAAGCTAGTGATGGTGACATTAAAGCTACTGATGGTGACATTGAAGCTAGTAATGGTGACATTGAAGCTAATGATGGTGACATTGAAGCTAGTGTTGGTGACATTAAAGCTACTGATGGTAACATTGAAGCTAGTGATGGTGACATTGAATCTAGTGATGGTGACATTGAAGTTAGTGATGGTGACATTGAAGCTAGTGTTGGTGACATTAAAGCTAGTGATGGTGACATTGAAGCTAGTGATGGTGACATTAAAGCTAGTGATGGTGACATTGAAGCAAGTGATGGTGACATTGAAGCTAGTGATGGTGACATTGAAGCTAGTGATGGTGACATTGAAGCTAGTGTTGGTGACATTAAAGCTACTGATGGTGACATTGAAGCTAGTGATGGTGACATTGAAGCTAGTGATGGTGACATTAAAGCTACTGATGGTAACATTGAAGCTAGTGATGGTGACATTAGAGCTAATGATGGTGACATTGAAGCTAGTGTTGGTGACATTAAAGCCACTGATGGTGACATTGAAGCTAGTGATGGTGACATTAAAGCTACTGATGGTAACATTGAAGCTAGTGATGGTGACATTAGAGCTAATGATGGTGACATTGAAGCTAGTGTTGGTGACATTAAAGCCACTGATGGTGACATTGAAGCTAGTGATGGTGACATTGAAGCTAGTGATGGTGACATTGAAGCTAGTGATGGTGACATTGAAGCTAGTGATGGTGACATTAAAGCTTGTGATGGTGACATTGAAGATAGTGATGGTGACATTGAAGCTAGTGATGGTGACATTAAAGCTACTGTTAATGACATTGAAGCTAGTGATGGTGACATTGAAGATAGTGATGGTGACATTAAAGCTACTGATGGTGACATTGAAGATAGTGATGGTGACATTAAGCAAGTGGAAATTAGGGAAATTGAAACCAGAATTTATTACATTGAGGCAAAAGATCGTGACATTGAAGCAGTAGATGGAACATCGGACAGTTCAGTCACAGACAACCACTCCTACACACACCTCATGCGAGACGGGGGGGGGGGGGGGGGGGGGGGGTATTTCTTATAGAAGTGAGCGCCACTGGATACTTGCTGTTCATACTTTGTGTTCATGATCAGTGTTTAACGCCGCACGCAATATTGCAGCTACATGACGGCGGCCTGTATATAATCGAGCCTGGACCACACAAGCCAGTGATTGTTATTAAGCGCAACGTGGACTGTATGTTTCTTGTTTAACGCCGGACTATGCAACATTGCAGCTATATGACGGCAACCTGTACATAATCAACCTGTGAATGTTATTATGCGCAACGTTCCAAGACGACCTTTTCGGTTTTAACGCCGTACATGATTATGACATTGTTTGTCTGTATGTTTGTTGTTTAACGCCGGACTATGAAGCATTACAGCTATATGACGGCAACTTGTACATAATCGAGTCTGGACCAGACAAGCCAGTGATTGTTATTAAGCGCAACGTCGCACGTGGACTATATGCTTGTTGTTTAACGCCGTACTGTGCAGCATTGCAGCTATATGACGGCAACCTGTACATAATCGAGTCTGGACCAGACAAGCCAGTGACTGTTTTTACGCGCAACGTCGCACGTGGACTGTATGCTTGTTGTTTAACGCCGTACTGTGCAGCATTGCAGCTATATGACGGCAGCCTGTAGATAATCGAGTCTGGACCAGACAAGCCAGTGATTGTTATTAAGCGCAACGTCGCACGTGGACTGTATGCTTGTTTCACGCTGTACTGTGCAGCATTGCAGCTATATGACGGCAACCTGTACATAATCGAGTCTAGACCAGACACGCCAGTGATTGTTATTAAGCGCAACGTAAGCCGACTTTTTCTGTTTCTGCACATGATTATAACATTGTTTGTTTGTTTGATTGATGTTTAACGCCGTACTCAATATTCCAGCTATATATCCAGCTGTTAATAATCGAGTCTGGACAAGACAATCCGGTGATTGACATCATGAGCATCTATCCACGCAATTGGGATAGATGACATGCATCAACCAAGTCAGCGAGCCTGACCACCCGATCCCCTAAGTCGCCTGTCATAGCATTGTTTTTAGTTATTTAGTTTTACCTTTATCTAAAAACTAAAATGCTTGACATGTGTCTGAAACTTCTTTGATCAACCGTGACCAAGGCTATTACATACCCCCGGCGTACCATCAACTCATCAAAGACCCCAATCAGCCATAATCCCGTTGTTTACTGGTTTCATCCTTTGTTTCTGTCACTGACTTCACCGATGATTGTCATCACTACCCTTGTGTGTACATAGCAGGCTTCTCTACTCCAGTATAACAATATCTACTCTACTGTATAAACATTGCCTCCTACTTGTATATATACTTGCCAACCACACTCTGTATACCACTTGCTTGATAACGGTGTTAGAACCTATACCGAAACGTCGCACTTAAATATAATAAAGAAGTTGTTCATCCATAAATTCTTATTCTTACTTATGTGTCAGAACGTTTACCGAAATAATAGGATGGAGACAGTGCATACGTGCCGGTTCGTCACAGCAGTTAGCCTGATTCTGCAACTGCGCCTATTTACTGCAGAAAGTCCGTGTTTTTAAAAGCGACAAAAGCCTTTCCGTATTCAATAGAAATCTCTGCCACCAGCAGAGTCGATTGTACGATTCCGACTATATCATGAGCATGTGTTTATGATTCCGACTATATGATGAGCATGTGTTTACGATTCCGACTATATGATGAGCATGTGTTTATGATTCCGACTATATCATGAGCATGTGTTTATGATTCCGACTATATGATGAGCATGTGTTTATGCTTCCGACTATATCATGAGCATGTGTTTATGCTTCCGACTATATGATGAGCATGTGTTTACGATTCCGACTATATGATGAGCATGTGTTTATGATTCCGACTATATCATGAGCATGTGTTTATGCTTCCGACTATATCATGAGCATGTGTTTATGATTCCGACTATATGATGAGCATGTGTTTATGATTCCGACTATATGATGAGCATGTGTTTATGATTCCGACTATATCATGAGCATGTGTTTATGTTTCCGATTATATCATGAGCATGTGTTTATGTTTCCGACTATATCATGAGCATGTGTTTATGTTTCCGACTATATCATGAGCATGTGTTTATGTTTCCGACTATATCATGAGCATGTGTTTATGTTTCCGACTATATGATGAGCATGTGTTTATGATTCCGACTATATCATGAGCATGTGTTTATGATTCCGACTATATGATGAGCATGTGTTTACGATTCCGACTATATCATGAGCATGTGTTTATGATTCCGACTATATGATGAGCATGTGTTTACGATTCCGACTATATGATGAGCATGTGCTTATGCTTCCGACTATATCATGAGCATGTGTTTATGCTTCCGACTATATCATGAGCATGTGTTTATGATTCCGACTATATGATGAGCATGTGTTTATGATTCCGACTATATCATGAGCATGTGTTTATGATTCCGACTATATGATGAGCATGTGTTTATGATTCCGACTATATGATGAGCATGTGTTTACGATTCCGACTATATGATGAGCATGTGTTTATGCTTCCGACTATATCATGAGCATGTGTTTATGCTTCCGACTATATCATGAGCATGTGTTTATGATTCCGACTATATGATGAGCATGTGTTTATGCTTCCGACTATATCATGAGCATGTGTTTATGATTCCGACTATATGATGAGCATGTGTTTATGATTCCGACTATATGATGAGCATGTGTTTACGATTCCGACTATATGATGAGCATGTGTTTATGCTTCCGACTATATCATGAGCATGTGTTTATGCTTCCGACTATATCATGAGCATGTGTTTATGATTCCGACTATATGATGAGCATGTGTTTATGATTCCGACTATATCATGAGCATGTGTTTATGCTTCCGACTATATGATGAGCATGTGTTTACGATTCCGACTATATGATGAGCATGTGTTTATGCTTCCGACTATATCATGAGCATGTGTTTATGATTCCGACTATATCATGAGCATGTGTTTATGATTCCGACTATATGATGAGCATATGTTTATGATTCCGACTATATCATGAGCATGTGTTTATGCTTCCGACTATATGATGAGCATATGTTTATGATTCCGACTATATCATGAGCATGTGTTTATGATTCCGACTATATCATGAGCATCTGTTTATGATTCCGACTATATCATGAGCATGTGTTTATGATTCCGACTATATCATGAGCATGTGTTTATGATTCCGACTATATCATGAGCATGTGTTTATGATTCCGACTATATCATGAGCATGTGTTTATGATTCCGACTATATCATGAGCATGTGTTTATGTTTCCGACTATATCATGAGCATGCGTTTATGATTCCGACTATATCATGAGCATATGTTTATGTTTCCGACTATATCATGAGCATGTGTTTATGATTCCGACTATATCATGAGCATATGTTTATGTTTCCGACTATATCATGAGCATGTGTTTATGTTTCCGACTATATCATGAGCATGTGTTTATGTTTCCGACTATATCATGAGCATGTGTTTATGTTTCCGACTATATCATGAGCATGTGTTTATGTTTCCGACTATATCATGAGCATGTGTTTATGTTTCCGACTATATGATGAGCATGTGTTTATGATTCCGACTATATCATGAGCATGTGTTTATGATTCCGACTATATGATGAGCATGTGTTTACGATTCCGACTATATCATGAGCATGTGTTTATGATTCCGACTATATGATGAGCATGTGTTTACGATTCCGACTATATGATGAGCATGTGCTTATGCTTCCGACTATATCATGAGCATGTGTTTATGCTTCCGACTATATCATGAGCATGTGTTTATGATTCCGACTATATGATGAGCATGTGTTTATGATTCCGACTATATCATGAGCATGTGTTTATGATTCCGACTATATGATGAGCATGTGTTTATGATTCCGACTATATGATGAGCATGTGTTTATGATTCCGACTATATGATGAGCATGTGTTTACGATTCCGACTATATGATGAGCATGTGTTTATGCTTCCGACTATATCATGAGCATGTGTTTATGCTTCCGACTATATCATGAGCATGTGTTTATGATTCCGACTATATGATGAGCATGTGTTTATGCTTCCGACTATATCATGAGCATGTGTTTATGATTCCGACTATATGATGAGCATGTGTTTATGATTCCGACTATATGATGAGCATGTGTTTACGATTCCGACTATATGATGAGCATGTGTTTATGCTTCCGACTATATCATGAGCATGTGTTTATGCTTCCGACTATATCATGAGCATGTGTTTATGATTCCGACTATATGATGAGCATGTGTTTATGATTCCGACTATATCATGAGCATGTGTTTATGCTTCCGACTATATGATGAGCATGTGTTTACGATTCCGACTATATGATGAGCATGTGTTTATGCTTCCGACTATATCATGAGCATGTGTTTATGATTCCGACTATATCATGAGCATGTGTTTATGATTCCGACTATATGATGAGCATATGTTTATGATTCCGACTATATCATGAGCATGTGTTTATGCTTCCGACTATATGATG